GGGGGGGGATGTTAGGCTGGTTTAAGATTTCTTCAACTTTTTTGCCTTGACTGTTCTATTTTATGAAAGATTGATCCACCGACTAGATCAATCGCACTGAAATAAGTCTTAGACTATCATGAGTATTCGTTATACGCACGTTGGCAATAAATCAATTACTGTTTAGTATCGTTTTTTTCTGCAACTTGTGGTATCAGTCGTGAAGTTTTCCACCGTAGTCTTTATTCTATATTTTGAGTACAGTGGCAGTCAGTTTTTTTCGCAACTGCACCCCGTTATCACACAGGATTCCTTGCGTTTTCCCTACGAGGAATGTCGTTCTGTCTTTTGGCAACGCTCAAATCAAATTCTAGTTTTGAAATGATGGAGCTTCCTTCTAAAACTAAAAAAAAACTGGTGGGTTTCAAACTTATAAGCAGGCATATTTTGGTCTTAATTCTGCAGGTCTGTTAGCAATATATTTTTACCTGTGGATTGATCAAAATCTGGCTTGTCATGATCACAAACTTTTTTTGCCTCTATTGGAAAGTCTGCGTGTTGATCAAGTAAACTGACATGTCATTTTAGACAGAAAATCACTCAGAAACTTTTTTGCAAATTTGTCTAGATCTTGAGAAATTGCAGTGCAATTGTTTCAACGGGAACGAGATAAGAGCCGCAATGAAAGAAATTTATGCTAAAACTAGATCTACGTAGATAGATATCATCAAGAATAATTCGAAGTTATGTTGTTAGGTTCTGACATTCGACATTCAAACGTGAAAATGAAGAGTGTACACTGGGTAACTGTATCGTCAAGGTACATGTCTTTTCAGTATTTTCAGGTTTGCCTTCTATAAATGTGCAATGAGTCGACAAATTAATTGAATTACAATAGCAATGGCAAGGGAAACCTACTTTTAAACATTGCAAGATGTGGAAAAGCATGTAGGCGAAGAAATCAGACAAGACAAATCTTGGTGGGGGAAAATAGGTGTTATGCCAGTCCCCGGCAGAATTTTTCTTACTTTTCTGCTTCAGCTTTTGGGAGCTCGGAAACTAAAATAATTTTCCAAGTATGAAAACATTCTGTTTAGGAAACAGTTAAACGTTGAAGTCGGAGGTACATAGTGACAAACCCAGAATTTTTTTGGTCCCAAAACAAGTTTGGAATGCCATGGGTTAAGGGTATAAATAATAAAATTGCGTGTCATTTATCATTTATGTGGGTGTAAAATATACATAACTTCACTTGTTTGCCTTTTCCCCATTTTTATGTATGTACAATGTTTTCTAATCTACAGTGACAGGTCTCAAACCAAGGGGCCGGCGGAACCGGAGTACCTCCCTGAGGCTGACGGTGTCATTGAGGTAAGCATTTGACTTGTCTGAGCTGTTCCATTTTGTTCAGATGTTTCTCTTGATTTCTAAAAATTCATGATTGCGAGGGAGGTGTGTAAATAGTTTTGGCATATTTAAGGCTTGTGGTTCCCGTTCTGGGTAACTAACCTCCAGGATTTTGTGCATTTGGCACACATAGAGACATAGTTTACTGTGGACGTTTTTATGGCAGGGTTCAGACGTGTGTCCGATATGGGCTTTTCACCCTGTTTCTGTCCTATATTTGACGTTGATGATTTGTGTCTTAAAGACCTTTTCTTAATCCGATTTAGGTTCTCTTTTTCACCAACAATATAATATATAATATAATTAATTTGGTTTCATTGTCCTTTGATCTTGGACCTTCTTTACTAATCTCAATTGATTACTTCACAGAGCAACTACGATGGAGTCGTAGATGCTTTTGATGACATGAACCTCAGGGAGGACCTCCTCAGGGGTATCTACGCGTATGGGTTTGAAAAGCCATCAGCTATTCAGCAGAGGGCTATTCTTCCATGCATCGGAGGTAATGTCAAATATTATTGTTTGCTTGGAAATTTTTAAAATAATGTCTCTTACATGAGACAGGTCTTAGGTTATGTTCTGTATTATAAAATCATGTACGTAAGCTGTGACATGTCCAAGAGTGTAGTGTTTGGCGTGTTTTAAGTATAATTTATTATGATCTTTTTATTGACTTTGAGTCCTTGTTCGACATTTAATTTTGAATCATAGATACATGCTTTTCTACCAGTAAGTTCATTACAGCTGAGTAAAAATGAAAGTGCTTTTCCAGTTATTTTTGTAGATGTATTTGAATTGCGTTGTTTATTAAATTGATACGGCTTCATTTTATATCTCGAAATGTTCTGTGTTATCAGGTCAGGATGTCATTGCTCAGGCCCAGTCTGGCACAGGGAAAACTGCCACGTTCTCCATTGCCATTTTGGAGAAACTGGACCTGAACATGCTCAGCACCCAGGCCCTCGTCTTGGCACCCACTAGGGAACTTGCCCAGCAAGTGAGTTGACTTTTTAGAATTTATTTCCGCTCTCCGTTTTATTTGCTAAGAACCCTGGTTCATGTTTCTTCTTTGAATAATTTTGGTAGTTTTGTGGTTGAAAGGATATTTTGTGGGGGGTTGGGTGGATTTTCGTGTCGTAGTAGAGGCTTTGAGAAAGGGTTTTGTCCAGATTTAGAGGTATTTGCTGCTTTTCTTTTTCATTCTCTGTTGACCCAGCTTCTAAAAGGAGCTGGGCAATTGGCAGAGACGAATTGTGTGAACAGTTAAGATATGGCGTGTGTGTCCTGTGGTAATTTTGAATAAATAGGCCATCCAAAGGAGTTATTGTGGAATAATGCTGGGGGGCTCGTGGCCATTATTGAGCACTTTAAAGTTATAAACAGGTGCTGATTTACCAGATCAATCTGCATTTCTGAAATTGTTTGTGCTTTACATTATAAGTTATGGCATTTCAGTCATGATACAAGATGTCTTAAATAATGCAGTGAATACATTTTTTTGAGTCTTTTCCATCATTCCATGGGGGTGTGAAAGGCAAGGGATTTTTAATCCTAAGCAGTTGGCACTTTTGTATTAAAAGGAGATACTCTTTTTTTTTACTGTGATGCTCCCTATGTGGTTAAACAGCATAGGAAGATTGTTTCAGCAGCTGGAAATAGGCGTACCAATTTTTTTAGCTAAGCAGGAAAAATTATGTCGAACCTATTATGTTTGAATTGTGAATTTGAAATGTTTCTAATTTTATAACAATTTTTTGCAAAATTTTAGATCCAAAAGGTGGTTTTGGCTTTGGGTGACTACCTGGGAGCCCAGTGTCATGCGTGCATTGGCGGTACCCTGGTCCGTGAGGACATGCGCAAGCTGGAGAGTGGCTCTCACGTCGTTGTTGGCACCCCCGGTCGTGTCTTTGACATGATCAACCGCCGCGCCTTCAACACCAAGGACATCAAGATGTTCGTTCTCGATGAGGCTGATGAGATGTTGTCTCGTGGTTTCAAGGATCAGATTTATGATGTATTTAGGCACATGCCTAATGAGATCCAGGTGATTATTTTAAAATCATTCTTTGTATTAGTGGGGGGAATTGACATTGCACTACAGTAGCACAAATTACTATAGCGAATATTGTCGATTTCAGTTATTGGTCCCGTCTGTTTTTCAACAAAGAGTATATTGTCTGTTGAAGAAAAAATCTTTACACTTCAGTATTCGTTACAGGGATGGGTGGGAGAATTTAAAAAGTAAGCTTTCTTTCTCGGGACATCCATCTTTATTTTGCTTATGAAGTTGTTTCTCTTTTTTGTCTGTGTTACTTAATGAAACAAACTGGACCCTCTTCAAGATTTTTGTTTTAGGACTTGTGAAAGGGGAACAGTAAGATCATAGGGACGATAGGACTTTTGGGGTTTCAGAATAAGGCTATGAAAGTCGAGGTGTACAGGATGTCATAGTGCTTTACATTGCTGTTTCAATTTTTTTCAGGTTATTCTCCTGTCGGCTACCATGCCTGCTGACGTGCTGGAGGTGACCCAGAGGTTCATGAGGGAACCTGTGAGGATCTTGGTCAAGAAGGAAGAGCTTACCCTGGAGGGTATTCGCCAGTTCTACATTCAAGTAGAGCGTGAGGTGAGGGTTTGTTAAAAGTGGTCTTGAAAACTGATTATAATAATATGAAGTGTAGATATGTGGTTTACATAATGGAGAGACTGTCCTTAGTTGCAGGAAACAGAAAGGTGTTTTTTGGTTGCTGTTAAACTATGTATATTTTGTTCTTATGTGGTTGGTACTTTCGTGTGGTGGGTTTCTCCTTCCTTTCAGTATAATCATTAGTCTGTTTAAGGGCAAAATGTAACAAAAATAGTGTAGACAATGTAAACGTGTGGGAAGTAATTCATATATGCCTTTTTTTTTTTTTTTTTTCAACACAGCAAATACCTCTAAAATTGTCGAATGAGGTATAAGACAGCAAGAGTAATGCCACTTAATCTTTGGGACGTTTTAAACTTTTCTTTGAGAATGACTGTTATTTCTGCTCTACGCGTTTACGTCTGGTGTATAGAAATCAAATTTATTTCCGTTTGTTCTGTTTTCTTGTGGTTTTCAGCCCTTTCAAAAAACAATCTTTGTGTTATGCTATGATACTGACTGTGCTGGTTTTGGGTCATGCAGGAATGGAAACTGGACACACTCTGTGACTTGTACGAGACTCTGACCATTACTCAGGCCGTCATCTTTTGTAACACAAGAAGGAAGGTGGACTGGCTCACTGAGAAAATGGGCTCAAGAGATTTCACTGTCTCTGCTATGGTAAGTCCGGGTCTTAGTTTTACTTCTTTTAGCACATTCTTACCTATTTTTTCCGGGATCTTTATGCAGAAAAACATCTTATTTAGTTTAAAGGAGAAAAATTTATTCTGCCTTTTCTTTTTTGCCGGAGGTATGGTTAGACTTTTTATTAGAGAGAACTCATTTTTCTAAAATGTCTATACGGGATCTAGTAGTAGTTTGGCACATCTTTATTTCAATTATAACCATATGTATTGGGCATTCCTACTTGAATACTCTCAAGATCTACTTTAACTTTTGTTACCTCCCAGAATTCTCTGATGGAGTGATGGTAGCCTGATAACTAACGATTCTGGCTTGCAAAAAAAAAATCAATATTATTTGTTGATTTTTTTGTTCCTGTAAAAAAGTTTCCTCTGGGGTTTGGTTGTTTGGGGGGGGGGGGGGGGGGGGTGTCAGGCTGCTTGACATTTTGTTATGAAAAATAAATAGTCAGGATATTCTTAGACTTAAGTGATTGACTTGATACTTCAGGGCTTTAAAAAAAAAAAAAGAAACCGTGTAACCAACTTAAACATTTTTTTAGAGGTGGGGTCTGCATAATGGGAGATACATTGTGTTAGCGTGGTAGAAGTAGTACCTTGTCACTGTATAAAAATGTCTGAAGGAAAAATTAAAATAAGTGAGTGCAGACCTGAAATACCTCACAAAGGGTAGCGTTTGAACCTTTTGGTGAATAATCTGATTGGGTTAATTTTTTTGTATTTCAGCACGGAGACATGAATCAAAATGAGCGAGACCTCATCATGCGCGAGTTCCGCTCAGGCTCTAGCCGGGTGCTAATTACTACGGATCTGCTGGCCCGAGGCATTGACGTCCAGCAGGTTTCCCTAGTCATCAACTATGATCTGCCTGCCAACAGGGAGAACTACATTCACAGGTCAGTGCTGCATTCTAACAGTAGGCTTTTACTTTTTAATGCTCAATGATTTCTGTGCTTAAGATGTGTCTGGATTTATAACTGTCTCTGACTGTAATTCTTTTTTCTAGTTGCTTTGAAACTCTGGTGATTACTGGCAAACAAGTTAGTTCTGCACTTACTTTTGTTCAGTGTTATTGCAGGTCTGTGGTCTTTGTCCCTTGGATTGTTATTTTCATGCAGATTCGCAGTAATGTACTGTGAAAGAAAGTGGTATTTTTGAAATGCTTGAATTGATTAGTCTGGTCACCTCAGAGTCCTGCATTGGTGACATTCGGTCACTTTATAGATTTTAGTAATGGGGTGAAAGGGCGATATTGTGTGGTTGTTGATTTATTATACCTATGATCTTCCTAAAAGCACTGTACAGTTTTTGATGTAACTGCTGCAGCCGTCAACGGGAAGTACATAAAACTGATGTGTTCTCTTTGGGTGAGGTGGCCTGCTTTTTTGTGCTTGTCACCTCAATAGTGAACCCAACACCGGTTTGATAATGTAGGATGGTAGATTTTGAAAAGTATGAACCCTCAATATCTGAAAAAGTCGTTCCAGAACTTTTTGTTGTTACAGTAGCACAGTACTATTTAAAATGCAATGAATGAGCTAGTTGAATAAATTGATGTTGGGGGGTGGGGGTATTACAAGTTAAGTTTTGTGTGGAGGTTCGGAATTCAGAAGTGGATAATTTGTTTTGATGAACTTTTTCAAAATTTCTGTAAAGCCCCAGGCCCTCAGTTTTCCTTGATGTCATTCGTGTGATGGGAATAATAAAATATTCGAATCTCTCTGTGACATTGTTGTGGATCCAACCTCTCACCTGTCCTGTTTTTTCTTTCTATTGTCAGTTTGGCAAGTACAAAACAGCCTATTTGTGTCTATAACGTTTTTTCAAACTTTGTTGATGAGTTTTGACCGTATTTTATAATGCTGTATGCCGCTTGTAAATAATTAGGTTTATTGTGTCCTAAGTTTTCTTTGAGAAATGTCTGGGTGGGGGGGGGGGGGGGGGGATTGTGCTGTAAGTCATTAGTAGGACATCTGATCTTCCTAAAAGCACTGTACAGTTTTTGATGTAACTGCTGCAGCCGTCAACGGGAAGTACATAAAACTGATGTGTTCTCTTTGGGTGAGGTGGCCTGCTGTTTTGTGCTTGTCACCTCAATAGTGAACCCAACACCGGTTTGATAATGTAGGATGGTAGACAGCCGCATCTCTGCTTGGGAAAAGCTCTGATAATAGTGTTTCCTCTTTGTGAAAAGTATGAACCCTCAATGTCTGAAAAAGCCGTTCCAGAACTTTTTGTTGTTACAATAGCACAGTATTATTTAAAACACAATGAATGAGCTAGTTGTGAATAAATTGATGTTCAGGGGGGGGGGGGGGGGGGTATATTACAAGTTTAATGTAGAGGTGGGGAGTTCTGAAATTGATGTTTGCTTCTTTTGTTTTGATGAACTTGGGTCAAATTTTCTGTAGCGCCCCAGATCCTCAATTTTTCTAGATATGCAATTCGTGTGATGGGGGAATAATAATTAAATAATCTGTCTGCGACGTTTCGGTGGATCCTACCTCTCACATGTCCTATTCTTTCTTTCTATTGTTTCGATTTTGCAAGTACAAAACAGCCTGATTGTGAAAGTTTTCTCAAGTTTTCTGTTTTGGTTGTATTTTATTATACTATATTTAATATTTACTGTTTGTACCTATAATTAAGGTGTATTGTGTCGTACGTTTTCGAGAAATATGGTCTGTGAGGGGGGATTGTGCTGTAAGTTATTAGTAGGACATCTGATCTTCCTAAAAGCACTGTACAGTTTTTGATGTAACTGCTGCAGCCGTCAACGGGAAGTACATAAAACTGATGTGTTCTCTTTGGGTGAGGTGGCCTGCTTTTTTGTACTTGTCACCTCAATAGTGAACCCAACACCGGTTTGGTAATGTAGAATGGTAGGCGGTAATGTTTCTGTTAGGGTTTATACAAGGAAAGTGTTGGTTGACAACTGTTTTCTTTTTAACATTTTTTTTTTTTGTTTTCCCCCTCCCCCAACAGGATTGGCCGCGGAGGACGTTTCGGCCGTAAAGGAGTTGCTATCAACTTCGTGACTGCCGATGACATCCGCGTGCTGCGTGACATTGAGCAGTTTTACAACACCACTATCGAGGAAATGCCCATGGATGTTGCCGATTTACTCTAAGGTCTCCCTAGAACACGCTCGGGATTCTGCTCTGACCGAATTTGCCTGTTGCCGAAACAATTTGCAAAGCGTACAAGAGTTTGAAGAAAAAGTTCTGGATACTGCATCCCTGCTGCAAGATAGTCGTGTTTACATAGGATCGCAAGTCTTTACTTTTTTGTTGTTCTCTCGGCGCGCGGCTAGCCTGCAGGAGGTGTGCATTCTTCGTACTATCTGTGGTGTTTGTAACTTTTTTTTTTTTTCTCTCTTCCTTTTCTATTTATTCATCATTTTCATTCTCGTCATCATACATTGTCAAAATTTTGTGGTCGTCGATCAACTCAGAAAGTTGCCTTAGAGGTTTTTAATCAAGATTTGAACATCATTCTCTGAAACTTTTTGTCCTTCCTGTCCAATTGTCTCAGCAGTTTTGTAAGTGTTTCGTGCTGCTTTTTTTTTTCTTCCCTCCCCTCAGTCTCTCCCTTGTTTTGTTTTCTCATTGATGTTGTTTGTAAAGTCATTACACTTACTTTGTCTCTTTCATCATTTTTGTGAAGACTTGTATATTTTAATTTTTGAAGTTTTTTGAGACTTGAATCAAACTATCAAGATAATTCTGTAGGGGCCCGTCCGGGTAAACAGTTGGCCCGTGTAATTATATAGCCAAAAGATCTCCATCTCACACAATGCACTATGATTTTGTACAGTGCTGTTTACAAATTTTAGGATCTTATATTTAAATTGAATTCCCAATTGTCTTTTTTTTTTTTTTTTTTGATGCTACGATCAATTAATGTTTACTGATATTTAAAATGACGCAAGCATTGTCACATCATTTGGAAACTGGAAATTAATAAAATTGCAGCTGTAGTTGAGAGTATTCAGGCCAGTGAGTGTTGCCTTACTGTTCTCATTATGGCAGCACCAGGGGATAGGGTTTCAAGCAGTGTTTATGGTGTTTTATCTGGTCACTGAACAAGGCATGCATCATTTCTTCTTCTTCACTTTCCTGTTGGGCATTCTCCGTGGTCCGTCATAGTAATGTGAATGTGTTGGGGAAATAAATGGTCATTATTTCACGTTGTCATGCTGTGTACAGTACTGAGCTATGAGTGAGAGCATCATATTTGTGCGCAAGTGAGGCACGGAATGCAGATACTCTCGGCACTGGGCAGTGTTTGTTGGCACAGGGGGCAAAGTAGGTGTCACAGCCTACATCAAAGGGTTATATGAAATGTTCAAGACCTGCAAAACTCATTAAACAAAACAACAAAAAAATAGATGTAATAAAAATTGAATAAAAAAAAAGGACTGATATATGCGTCTTTGATTTGTATAACTGTTGTCTTGATCCTTTTTGTCCCTCTCTATTCTCTTTCCCTGTGTGTGGGTGGTTGGCAGGTGCTCTGGTGTGGTTTGCGCCTTCTTTCCTATCAAACATCTATCGTCCTTATCTCTCCTTTTTTTATGTTTGTTACTCTCTTGTAACTCCTCTAATCTTCGGCACTTATATTACATGTTGTATTGCAAGTGCCGTAAAACTCTTCCTAAAACTAAATTAAAACTTTCCCTGTGTATGTGATTTTGATGTTGGTTTTTGTCCGTTATTCTGATGCTGTTTGTGGAGGTGTGGTTGGTTCACAAAAGTTGATCTCTAGTTTGGGGATATTTTATTTCAACCTGTCTGCTGGATCATGAATACTCAAGGCAAATTTTTGGATTAATGGGGGATCTAACACCGTGTTGGTCAGTGTAAGAGCTGGTGTCAAGTATAAAAATTAAACCCTCTGCGCTTTCGGCTATATATTAAAACTGAGAGAAAAGTTAATTGAAGAGGTAGAAGAAGCCGTGACAGTTTTGGGGGACAGCACCTGGCAAAGAAGAGGTTGCATACGTCCAAAAAGGAAATGGTCATTGCTCTTGCAGTACAGTAACCTCAGGTTACTAGTAACCTGAGCATCTCTTTAGTGTTGGTAAGGTTTTACGGCGCTCGCAACTGCTTAAGTTCATATGAGCGCCAAGGGGTGGATGTCAACAGAGAAGTCCAAACAGGGAATCGGGTTTTCCCTGCTCTTCTCTTTAGCCTCAACAGCACATAGTCTGCTACGACTATCAAGGCACCCTGGAAATAGTACCGTAGTCCACAACAGAGTGACATACAATACATACAAAAGAAGTAGAGGAAAGAAAAAGCAGCAGTTCCCCCTATGTTGTTCCGGCACAGTATGAGCATGACATTAATAAATCAGTCAGGCCATTTACAATTCTACTGTGCATAAGAACATGTTAGTATCCCGTGTGGGTGGTTGGCGGGTGCTCTGGAGTGGTTTACTCCTTTCCTATCAAACATCTATCTTCGGCACTTATGACCTTATTGTGTTGCAAGTGCCGTAAAACTCTTACTCTTAAGTCTTACACCCCCCCCCCCCCAAAAAAAAAAATCTCCACTCTGGGAATGGCCTAAAACTAAAGACACTTCTGTGAGTACCACTGCCCTGGGTGGGTGGGGGTGAGCGAGCATTTCTGAAGTGATGGTAGTTAGATGTGGCAGTGGTAAGGAACGTCTGTAGGCTAATCTTGACCCATACTCGTAGATCTAGAGATCTGTCACGTACATGTAATGAATTATTGTGGGCTGGACTGGAATCAAACTTTGCCGTAGGCTAGGCTCTCTACACAGCAACACAACTTGTTCGGCAAACTTTACGTAAGTGTGCATTTGAACGAATCGGCCCTTTTGCACAGCGAGTGCTTGGTTAAATGTAGGGTTCAGTGTATTTTCCTTGAATTTTCCATTTCCAGCTCTTCAGTAAAGAAACGAAAATGCTTCTCATCATTTGAAGCCAAACTATTTTTGGTTGAGAAAGTCGAATACATTATGCATTACTTGCTCGATGCCTGTAATTCATAATGGTACATGTAATAATGATTGCATTTATATAGCGCATATCCATGCTAAAGCGCATGCTCTATGCGCTTTACAACTAGATCTACATGTAATAATTATTAATAGATTGCATTTATTAATATAGCGCTCTATCCCATACTAATACATGTGTACTTGTATGAGCGCTTTACACCAATCACATAAATCAATTCATTCAACAGAAACAAGAAAAACCAGTTCAACGTATAGTAGTATAAAGAACTTTCACAACCATACATTAACTAACTATACACGAAAAGACATTTAATTTTAAAGATCTAAAAGTATTATTGGGGATGAGGAGATGAAAAATGGTGTGAATGAGATCAAAAGTCTTTGAAATATTGCTGATGAGCTAAAAAATTATTAGAGGTGAGATACAAAATACGGAGGATGAGCTAGAAAATACGGTGGAGTCCACTTATATAATATCATTAGGGTTGAGCTTCAAATATACTGGGGATGAGCTAGAAAATAATAGGGTTTAGCTAGCTAGAAAGTACTGGGAATGAGCTAAAAAGTATTACAGTTGAGCTACAGAAATACTGGGGATGAGCTAAAAATTATTCTGGTTAAGAGAAAATATTAGGGTGACCTTATTTAGGCCACATATGGCCTAAATAAGCTAAACCCCCCTCCCTTACCTTATTTGGGCCACAGGTGGCCTAAATAAGCTAAACCCCCCTCCTTTACCTTATTTAGGCCACACCTGTGGCCTGAATAAGCTAAACCCCCCTCCCTTACCTTATTTAGGCCACACCTGTGGCCTAAATAAGCTAAACCCCCCTCCCTTACCTTATTTAGGCCACATATGTAGTCAAAATAACCAAACCAATGTAAAGCATTGTTTTCTTTACAAGTTACATTATTATCTCTTTAAAACTCTTCACATCCATTTTCCTTCACAGCCGTATCGTACATGACATGTGATGTAGAATCAATTTAAGGTCCTTGGAAAGGTGACCAGAAAATAACAAAATTATTTTATGATCTTCACTTGCACTTGCAATTTTTTGGACAAATTAGTCTACCTAATTATATTTTTTTCCCCTCATTTGTCTTCACTATAAATGACAACTGGCATGTATTGTTTTCAGTTATTATCAAGAAAGTGGATAGGCGGACTACGGGGTCTATCTAGCCAAAAGGATAGGTGGACCCCGGGGTCTACCTAACAAAATGTTAGGTTTTAGGATGTGAACCCCGGAGTCAGCGTAGTGAAATAAGTAGATCTAGGTTTAACTAAGGATCGGTGGACCCCGGGGTCAACATAATGAAATAAGTAGATCTAAGTTTATTTTATAATAGGACTGGCGGAGCCCGTGGTCAAAGTAGTGAAATTATAAGTAGATAGGTTTAATTAAGGATTGGAGGACCACGGGGTCAATGTAGTGAAATCAGTAGATCTAGGTTTAATTAAGGATTGGTGGACCCTGGGGTCAATGTAGTGAAATAAGTACATGTAGATAAATCTAGGTTTAATTTTAAGGATTGGTGGACCCTGGGGTCAACGTAGTGAAATAGGTACATGTAGATCTAGGTTTAATTTTAAGGATTGGTGGACCCTGGAGTCAACGTAGTGAAATAGGTAGGTTTAAGGTGGACCCCAGGGTCTACCTAACGAAACACTAGTTAGGTTTTAGAATAGGTGGATCCTGCGGTCACCGTAGTAAAATAAGTAGGTTTAATCAAGGTGTCCCGGGGGTCCACCAATCCTTAATTAAACCTTCTTAATCCTCTATGGCCTTGGTGACTCCGGGTTCCACCAATCTTTAAAGAAACCTACTTATTTCACTGCGGTGACCCCAGGGTCCACCTGTCCTAAAACCTAGTACCAATCCTTACTTAAACCAAACCTTATTTCACTACGGTGACTCCGGGGTCCACATCCTAAAACCTAGTATTTCGCTATGCAGACCCCGGAGTCCACCTATCCTCTACAGGACTATACTATTATTATCAATTTGCAATTTTCATTGATTAGCATTTTTGTTTAAATATAATATTGAATAAGAGTGCAGGGGAGACCGAGGCGCCCGGTCGATTCAGTGGTCGGCTTTTGTAGATCTATGCATTTTTTACGGAAAGCCGTATTACCTAACCCTATTACTAGATCTATTAGTGTTGTGAAAACTTCAACCTCTACAGCTCAGGCATCAAAAGATGCTGGTAAATAATAATAGATCTACGTCCTGAAGTTTCATAATTTATTTTTATACAGAATAACACAGTACACAGTCAGTAGTTTTTATTTCATCGAGTTATAAAAATGGCCTTCGTATAAAAACTGCCTTGTTTTCAGAAGCAAGTTTTAATAGTTCTAGTTCTACCTAATCGATTTTCATGCGAATTCAACCATTTTTATTATCTTTCTTTTCCTTTTAAAAAGATGTAGATCTAAGCCTGTCGGATGTGGCAGTGCGAATAGCACTGAGTTGTTTAGATCTAGATCTAGATCTAGACCCATCAAAACACGAGGCTTCGTGGCCGATCACAAAAGTCTACAGGGCTTATCGAGGTCGATTCGCCCTGCCGCGAGCACGTTCACTAAACTGCCTACTAGATAGAATCTACTACCAAATATTCTCTACACGATCTTTGCTACTACTACTACTAGGCCTACTAGCCTACATGTACTACTACGAGACAGTACGAGAGAGTGTCACTCAGGCAAAGATAGTGTAACTTTGACTCAGCCACGTAGTATACACACTTTTTATACCCCAAATTTAACCCGAAAGTCCATTCGGAGGATTTGACCTTTTCACTTGACCAAAGTGTGCCAAAATGGTAGCCTAGCTTTTGCCCCTCCATGAAGGAAAAATCCGGCCCTCATTCAAACCATTGGAATTGAGCAAAACTTTGCGTTTTGTGCTTTGTTCTTTACAATATTCATTATGGTTATGATTTATAAGTTGTACACTGAGGCAAAACCATACTAAATGAGAAAGGTGCACCATTATGAAAGTGGAATGAACTCAGTTGCCTGAAAAGAGTAGTTTGAACATGTGTGGCCTAAATAAGCTAAACCCCCCTCCCTTACCTTATTTAGGCCATATGTGGCCTAAATAAGCACTCCCAAAATATTATGGATGATCTATAACTAAAAGTCTGAGAAGTATTGCTGATGAACTAAAAATTATTAGGGGTGAGATAGAAAATACTGAGGATCAGCTAGAAAATAAGATGGACGAGCTAGAAAATATTAGGGATGGAGTACAATATAGTGGGGATGAGTTAAAATATGTTACGGATGACCTTTAAAATACTGGGAATGACCTAGATCTAGAAAATATTGTGGACGGACTAGAAAATACCGGGGGTGAGCGAGAAAATATTAGACTTCAGCTAAAAATAATAACTACGGATGAACTAGAAAATATTACG